GAGCTGACCACCGCAGAAACAGTTCCTGATATACTAAATTTTGTACGATTTATTTTATTATATATAGAATTTAGCCAGCTGAAAGATGCAGAAGTTGTTCTAGTATAGTATAAAAATTGATATGCAAATTATGAGTGGATATAACACACAACATCATTGAGGGTTGTGAGACTTCGTCCTAAAATCCCCACAATGACATTATGTCAATTTGAAAATCAAAATGATGAAATATTTATAACAGAAGAGTGGAATAGTGATTTTAATTTAGAAGGTCATGAAATACATCCTGCTGATAATGAAACAGCCAAATGGATTTTAAGTTCTTTATTTAAAAGTTCTTTAGAATCTTCTTCATTTTTAAATTTGGATGAAATGTTTACTAATATATAATGTAATTACATAATATATACAAATAAATAAATAAAATTTTACACGATTAAAAAGGTTTACAATATATACATATATATACAATTAATTTAAATAATTTAAATTTATTATAATTTAATATTATAATTTAATTGGTTAGTTAAATTTTAAGGTTATATGATTATATATATAAATAGGTCATATAAAGTCATAGTCCAACACTGGTTCAGGTCAGATGTATATTTAATTCAGGTCAATTTATGTCTGATCTGACCTGACCTTATCAGGTCAGTCAAATTAATTACCCGATCTGATCTGACCTGTTCGGAGTTCTACTCTTCACAAATGAGGCTATAGATATATATATTTATATTTAATATGTCAAAAAATACTCTTTCAAAAATAATCTTATCTTAGCCAAAAAAGAATACTATATCAGTAAAGATTAATAAGAGAAGAAATAATATGCTATTCTTTTAAGAAAAAAGAAGTTGTATTATCATAACTTAATACTAATAAAAAATAAAAAAATATAAGCATATTCTAGAAGAATAGTATGTTATGATAAAGAACTAATAAAATCAATTTTATAAGTAGTATTATATGATAAGGAACTTTTCGCTCTTTATAACTGCTGATAAAAAATATTAGATAAATTTATTTTCTTAATAATTTTTTCTGAGATTACTAATCCTAAAATACATATATTTGAGATAGCATTATAGAGTAATGCTTCTCATTACTTCTCACTTTTAATATAATGATAAATTTTATTGATATGTTTAGAATATAAGATATGATAGGTTTATCATATATTCTACAAGAGGATTTTAATATATTATTTACATCAGATTTCAATAAAGTAAGCATCCCATCAGATAAATACAAACTCAATTGTAAATGCTTCTATCTTTTTTAATATATAAGTAAGTAAGACAATTCATTCTATTATATTTTCTTTATTCTTTTATTATAGAATTCTGATTTTAAATTAAAAACTGAATTGAACTTTGGTAAAAAAAATATATTATTTATAATAACAAATATTTGTTATTATATATATAAATGTATAAAGAACAATATTTAATTTACTAACTGGCTGATAGGTTGATCCAAATAGAAAATTATTCCAGAAGTTGATTTATAAAGATTATAAATAGAAAATATTAAAACTATGTATATTGGTGAATTTGAATTAGACTCCTTAGCTGATTTTATCATTCAGCCTTAATTCCTTTCTTATCTACCTTAGCAAAAAGAGCAGATATTTGTAAAAAATTTGTTATTAGCATTGTTAATGTACAATTTTGGTGGATTGCTACAGTTAAATGAGGTGTTCGAGTGTTGTTTCTTTTTAATATACGTAGTAACCTGCTGATTTATTTCTAAGTCCTGAACTTATAACTGGTATCACTTAAACATATTCAAACTATAATTCACTAAGACTGATATGATCACAAAGATTTACAATAGCTGTAGTTATCACAAAGGCTTGAAATATTACTTAGATTTACGAGGTTTATATGATCACTTATATTTATGAAGATTTATAATATTGCTTAGATGTATAATATCACTTAGACAATGATGTAAAATATCATACAGATGTATAAGATAAATAATAATATGGTTTATAAATAATTAATAAGAATAAAAGTAAGAAATAAGGTAAAGAAAATAAAAGAGATTTTCACAAAAATAAAAGAGTACACAATTATTCAAATATTTTTAAGATAATTATTACACACAGCTGAGTTGAATTCTGCCTTTCTACAAATTCTAAAATCTACTGTATATATAAACCTTAATATAGCGAACTCTTGATATAGCGAATTTTTAAATCAAATATATTAAAATTATCTTACTATAATGAACTAGCCAATTAAATTCTTTAAAAATTTCATTATAAGCTTATAACGAAGTTGATATTCAGATCCTAGAATTCATTATATCAAAAGTTCACTGTATATCCTTTCAATTACATATAATAATAAATAAAATATATTAAATAAACAAGTTATATCTATTATGCTAATTATGTCAACAATATTGATAATATTATTAATGTTAGTAATGTCAATAATATCAATAATATCATTAATGTCAATTATATCAACAATATCAAAAATATCACGTAATACATTGTTATCGGCTAAAAATTCACTATTGAAAAATTGATCTACAAAGAATTATTAAATGATCTACAGAAGTTACTGGAATTAATTTTATGTCAATCACAAATTAGAAGATC